AATTTAAGTTTTCCGTCGCCACTTGGAGGAGTCGTCGAAACCTTAAAAGTCTCTACTGTTCGATTTTCCCATCTCGTGTGCTGACAGGAGCTTATTTCGCGTGTTGTTCTAGTACCACCATGTCTCCCCTCGGGGTAGGGGGTCAGTATATCCCCGGGAAATGGGTCGAATTGATTGTTAGAATGATCCAGCGAGTTAGCGACGGTTAGGGAAAGGATTGCTAAAGGTAGGAGCGAGTATTGAAGAGGCCAGCGCCTTCTTCTCCTCGAGTAAGGAAGAATATGGCGTAGGAGAGAGGCTGACATTGCTCTCTCTTCTTCTTTAGGAAGAGCAAAATGCCAACTCTCTGTGACAATGCAAAAGAGCAAGTCTTGCAGTGTAGGTGTGGCATGGGCGGGGCTAACAACTTGACCACGCCTTAATTAATTGCTGGTTTAGCATTATAATAAATTTGTGCAAAAAAGTTTGCTTTTAAAATAAATAAATAAATAATAGTACATTTATAAATACTGTGAAAATAATATAAGCTACTAATTTCTGAAACTTCTATGCTAAGTTATTAATATAGTACTGCTGCTATATTGAAGATTATTAATACACTAGACTACTACTATAGTGAGCCTATTCTAATGTTCTATCTTCAGTTAATTTCAGCTCATAGCCATTTTTGTTTATCACACTTTTTACCGGCCCATCCCTAGAGAAAGAGAGAGAGTGAGGGGAGGAGGAGAGGGTAGACAATAGACAAGAGAGAGAGAGAGAGAGATTAACAATGAACATAATTCATAATAATAGTCACTGAAACTTGGCAGCCAAAACAATGATAGTAATAGTACCAAGGAATATCATCATTACTACACATTATAATTCACTGGTACTATTAATCTACACACATCATAATATTACCAATGCATTATATGCAATCTACATACTGCTACATGTACTACATAATATTGACATGTAAATCTGCATTATTATTATTTATTATTTTTAGTACCTCATCACAAGTGCAGAATCCATCAATACGTGAGCAGGTACCATGAACACAAGAACACCTAAACACATTACATACACACATACACCAGTACAACATGATCAGAATAATAATAGCATGACATTATGTACATTATAATGGACAGTATTTATACACATGAAATGTAAACAGTATCTTCAATAATATTTATACTTACTTTTGAGCACAGTTAACACCATAATGGTCACCATCACAGACTATTATAATAATAAAAATATTATAATTTAATTCATTTTATTTTATTGTACTTTTATTGCATTTTTCTCCAGTAAAGCCTGGATAGCATACACATTGGCCAGTGACGTGATGACAGAAACTTTTATTAAGGACACAATAATTACAAACTGACTTGCAACCTAAACCATATCTGTTACGTGAGCAAGCTAAGAGAGAGAGAGAGAGAGAGAAGTGACATAAAATTATAGTAAAATATGTCTTTTACGTTGTTCACAAAGTTTTCCATACCATCCTGCTTCACAAGTACATTTACCTACAGAAAACAAAGAGAGAGAGAGAGAGAGAGAAAGATACTCTATCATAGAATAACACTTAACTTTCAATTAAGGCACACATGCTAAACTTAAATTTTTCTAATTTTTGTGGATTTTTGCAAAAGCTTTGCTCCATTAAATAAAGTTTTATATTGCAGTATCTGCTGCTTTCTTACCATTAGTACACACCCCATGTCTAGTGCAATCAGTTTTAGTACAGTTTATAAATTCACACTTCTTCCCATACCATGGATCATTACAGTTACAGTCACCATGAGAACACTCTTCAATATCATGAACACACAGGACAGTGGAGACATTCCTTGGGCACTGGAACAATGGATCAGCACCATCAATATGACTAGTATGATAATAATAATAATAAAATCAAAATCAAGAATTAAAGCAGATTACTACACTGTACATTACAAGATGAATTATTGAGGTATTAGTATTAGCAATTGGCAGTTACTAGTATAAAACCTTCCATTTTGTTTTAATCTTATTATATGTAGTTAAAATGGTCAATATAAAATTATCCAATATTAATACATAGCCTCTCATAAATGTGCATCTTTTACAGTATAATATTATTAATAGGTTAATAACTACCAGTAGTCCCCAGGGTAATTGAGTATAGTATCTCCTTCCATTAGTAGACTGGATCCACCCCCATCAAGATTAACTGCATTAACAACACCTCTCTTGATTAGCATGTCAGCAAACTGGAACAGATTGACACTAAAATAAAAACAAAAATAAAATAATAAATAAAAGTATATACATTATACAACATATAAAGAACTATTAAGTGAAGATATATGCTTTAAAATAAAAAGAAAGAGTCTATTTGGCTTTGAATAAAACTGTAATATCCTTCAATAGTACACTACACAATAATAATAATGGACAATAGTCTAATTGAATTGTAGTGATAGTTTCAGTGAATTTAATAAAGACACTGTAGGATCATATCAGCCTCCAAATGAAGCAGTAGACATGAAGTGACATAATAACAAATAAAATGAAAAGTAATTACACAATACAGTATAAGAACATTAATATGCATCAGAAAATATAATGAAAATTTGGGGTCATTTTGGAGCCATTTTTGGAAAAAACCATGGGCTATAGTTTTTTTCAGAAATTGGCTGATTTCTTAAAATGGCCGTAACTTGAAAAATTTAAGTCGGGATCACTTCAAACTTTCTACACAGCATAAAAACATCAATATGTGTCAGAAAACATAGTAAAAAATTGGGGTAATT